CTTGACTGACATGCTAGTGGCCAAGCTGACGGTCGTCATAGGTGCTGTATCTCTTCACATGGATTCGGCGCACTCGGTCACGAAGTTCAAAACCCTCATCATCCTCACTGTGAGATGCTTGGCTTCGGCTCCTGCTTGTTGCTTCCAGCAGAGAGTTATCAGGAACCCGTGGTGTTTCATATAGTAAGACATTTAGTGTTTCCTCATAAATCCGTGCCTCGGGGAATTCAACCTACAAAAAACAGCACATGTCCTTTTCCTGATCTATACGGGATCACATGACTGGAACACATACCCATAAGTAAAAAGATACTTTGGCCAAAAAAAAAAGACAAACTATGAAGAGAGTAAAACAATTGTAAAAGGTAAAGATGAGCAAAGCAGTCTAATTCCTAGTAGAGGATCACTCCCACCACCGGATCGCCTACATCACCTCTTCTTTTAGATTGTTCTGGAATAGAATACAGTATTTTTGATTCTTAAGCCCTAATGTCAGACCCTGGTCACCTTAACTTCTGACTTGCAGTGGTGCAGGTCACTCCTAAGGTTAGGGAAACTCTGTAAATTTACCGTGCTAATCATTATCAATTTTTCATGCGTGTAACTCATCACTTCAGGATGTACTGTGCTTGAAAGCAAGTCTTTAGGTAACCTTTGCAAAATCAGAGGTGGGAAGACTATGAAAAGAATCACTGGAAACGTGGGGAAATCAACTGATTCCCAGTTGATTACTGGGAATCCGCACTCCTGCTGAGCTTTTTTTTTTTTTAACAGATATTCTATAGTTTTGCACCTAAAAGCATAATGATAATGAAAATGTTATGTTTCTAAACAGTGTCTGAGCTCAGTTTTCCATGTCACTAATTTCATCCCATCCATTTCAGTTATTCGGGTTGGGACAGATCAGTTTCAGCCTTCTCCTTTTTGGCATGTATTTTCCACCACTCTGGAGAAATTTATACTCCCAGACACAACCATTTAGTCCAATTACATACAATAATTACATCAGTGCAAGTGAAACACAGTACAAAGCAACTGCAATGAAGTAAACTTATGCAGGTATAATTAGGAGCAGAATTAGATCTTTACTTCATGTAGAGAAGAATTTAAAGGCATTTACATGCTTTAGGGATACAAAGTCCATCAACTTTTTAAGAGACCAGTGCTAAAATGGACATGCTTTCAGAATTACCATTCTCAGTCCTTCCTTCTTCAAACCTGCTACCACATTTAGTCTTCTCTAAATTCTGTCTAGCATGCAGCATCTTTTACCAAGACACCAGCTCATCCTGCAGCCCCCTAAGCAGCGAGCCACCCTATTAGTTTCGATGTCACTGGCCATCAGTTCCAGCCAATATTCACAAGAGCCGGTACCAAAGCTCTTCCAATAAATTACATTGCTTGCCTCTAGCACTTTGGCTTAAGTTACACAAAATCAGTATCTTTCTGCAATGTATCATCAACCTGATTTTTTTTTTAAAACATAAGAGACAGGTGGATAAAACTCCGTTACCTTGGTTTGCTTCTTCTCTGTCGCATACACTATAGAGGTACAACAGACTTCAGCAAGTTTACGACCCTGTCCGTAGAAAGACCAGCAGCAGATTTCATCCCCTATAACATCCTTAATGAAAAGAACTCTGCCGTTGAATCGGAGAGAGAGTTTGTCAAACAGTTCTATGTTCTTCAGTAAGTTGTCATCTGAGTTACTGAAACACAGCAACAAAAGGAAGAATAAGGTTTTTGTGGTTTTTCAGCTACCATCTCTACAGAATTTATATGCCTATTGCACCACAGTTTTAAGCATTGATCTAACTGCAGAATACAAATAAGTAGTGACTCATTGCCATATGCTGCCAAGAAAAGAGGGCAATAGCCAATTTCAGATACAAATAAGATGCTCTGATACCCATGAGCAAACACACCAGCCTTTAGAGGTCAAGTTACATAATTAATAACGACAGCACAATTTCCCACATCATTACATCAACTATCTATAACTTGCTCTTGACTGATGCTCAAGACGATTAAGTCATGTGCTAACTGCAGTTCTCTTTAGCTTAGTAACAGCAAAGGTCCAAAGAGTCAACGCGTGTTAGAAGGACAGCTAAAAAGCAAGGTGTTCTGCCCGTAACACTAGTGATACCATATACAAATTTCTAGGGTGAATACATTATTTAGGAAACTAAGCTTTATTGACAGCCAGCACAGTGTAGAACCTTAATTACTTTTCAAAGCAAGATCTAGATGTTCTAGGGAGGGAAAATACACGTAACATTATAGCTTTAAAATCAGGTAAAGCTATCAGAAAGCTATTCTTAGAATTTAAGTATTTTACGTAAATAACAACATCATGGCCAATCAATGTCCAATTTGATCAATTAAAAAAACCCCCAAAACCTAAAAGCCTTACTCCTCTGATATTAGCTTGAATGCAGCTGTACCAAAAGTACCCTGTGCCGCTTTGTCTCTTTTTATAGGTGGCTGGGAAATTATGTGCAGATATGTGGAAATTAGTGAACATATTATTGCCTAGACAAAGCCAACCTTGCTAGCTTTAACAGTAAAATTCCTTACTCTTCAGACCCAGAAGCTCAAGGTTCACAAATACTTAGTCCAAGAAGTATTTCTGTTCAGCTCTAAATCAAAAAAGCATGACGTGCAACCAGACAAAAATCTTCATCTCACAATAATCATTTGATAAAGCAATCTGGGATTCAGCCAGTGACAAGTCCCGGGCTCTAACAAGTGGCAGAGCTGGGAAAAGAATGTAGAAGTTTTCATTATGAGACCACACTGACAGCGTAACTAAGAAAGCTCCTTTTATACTGTTGATTAGGAAGAGCAGAAGGAAAATATCTTTGCTTGCTAGCAGCCAGTGTGGAATTTTAAATACAGATGCCTCATTTAAACACCATCAAGGCATGCAGATTAATGCGCAAGGAATAATTAGAACCCTACAGCTAGCTGAGATACCAGCACCTCCTGGTATCTAGGATTCTGTTGCTCTCATTACTGGTGTGTTTATATTTCCAGACCCGTGGTGACTAATCTGCTATTCTGTGCTTGCTTTAGCATCGCTGCCGTAAGCTAAAGGGTAACACAGGGAGGAGTGCAATATGACTGGCAGATACAGAATGCAGTCTGCTGAAAAACAGGCTGCTCCTCAGCACTCCTGCAGGCAGCATTTCCTGACTACCTGAAATACCATGATTATTAGAATCCATCTCTCCGACAGACAGACAATCCGTTTGTCCAGAGGAAAAAAACCTTCCAAGATTGCATCTCAGACTGAAAATGTTGAAAATTAGGATTCTGCATAGCATTAAGGATTACTCACATTGCTTCAATGACTGGCTTGGGAAAATCCAAAGCCATTCTGATAGCATCGTAGCAAAGGGATCATTACAGCATAAAACTAAACAAGTAACGTTACTTTATACAGGAGGAAAGCCAGTAAGTGCTTGCCCTGGCCCTATCTGAGTTGTTCCTGAGCAGAACAGGTACTTTCCCTTGTGACCAAATAATTAATTTAGAGGCACTGGAAGCCCTGGAACATCAAGAATGCCTGTAGGTCAGAGTAAAAGAGTGCCGGCAAAGGTATATTCAGACTCAAAAGCAAAGCTAAACTGATGATGTAAGGATTATGGCTGCATTAGCTCTACGCCGATGAGGTAATGCTCTGTGTGGTATTACCTAAGTTACATCTGGTTGCAGCCAATATGAACAGCTTCATCATTCCTATCTCTTGTCCCTTGTTTCTGTTCATCTTTCTCACACAACTGAACTGTATGCTAGACTTCAACAGATACAGTTTGCTGTGTTCTCCCCCCATTTAGATTCGCATCAGTCAAAAATGACTGCACTCAAATCCATAGAAGAGCACTGTTGTAATAAAAAAAAACCAAAAACACACCAACCCAAACCAAACCAACCAAACATACAAAAAAACCTGCAAACAAGCTAGGTTGTACCACACCTTCCTCCACTCCCGTAGTCAAAGGGAAACCTCCCCATTACAATGGGGAAAAAAGTAACCTACCTGGTGTAGGAGTATTTGTTGTTGCTTCTATTATAAAGCAGCTTAACAACAGGCTATTGGGAGAGAAAGAAAAAGCAGAGAAGGTAAATTCTGTGTTTGAATACATTTAGCAAAAATTCAGTTTCTCACTGAATAGTTGTGAAAAAACAGTTACTTTCATTGATGATTCTATCAGTCTCTCTTCTTCTTTTGGAGATGTGATAATAGGGATGCTACAGACAGGTTCATACAAGTCTTTCTTATCCTGTTTTAAAGAAAGAAGAGAGGAAATAAACTCAAGAGAGATAAATGCTAAAACTAACATCTGCTGCTGCTGTCTTCTCCAACCCCTCCAGCCACGTTCCCAAACCCTGCGATGCAAAGGAAAAGCTCTGTGTTGCCATAGTAACCACACAGCGTTACCTTGATCTGCAACCCAGAAATAAAGCGGAGAGATTTCTTATCCCCAGAAGGCAGCAGTAATTGAAATACTGGGATGCAGGTGGATGTCCTTCTTCGCTATAGCAAGGACTCTGAGCTCAAGTCGTATTTGGTTTAAAGTGGGTTTATTATTCTACCCTTTTTTGAAGAAAAGGATAGTAAGAGTTTGCACTAGTTTCAATCAACTCAAAACACTGCCCAATACAAGAATATCAGCCACTACGAGCTGAACATTTGGCAAGAACAGCGTGTCACTGAAACGGACTCCAGCCCCTTGTGATACATAAGCAACAGTCGAGAGCGTGTAGTACAATCTGTGACTCCAGATTCCTCATGTGGCATATTAAGGAAAGCTCAATAGCTGATAGGAAAGCCTTAGAACATTTTGTTTTTAGAAGAAAGGTTTTAAATTCCAAGCCAGAAGGAAAATCATCAGTGTGGCTTCACATTTCTTTCAATGGATACAAGAAGTATATCAAACCTAGTATGTGAAGTATTTATCAATTACTACGTTTTGTCCTGCAAGAAACGTTCATTTTGCAATCTTAAGACTAGTAATAGGTTATATGTACTGCAGCTGGGATAACCTTATTAAATAGTTGGCAGAACAAGCTGATTTCCATCAGCTGAACTCATCATATGGACCAATAAAGTGAACAAAGCTACTGTGGGCTTACATATTTGCAAAGAGTAGCAGCAAACTGACACAAAGAAAAGTCCTTAAAGCAATCAGTGCTTACCGTATAGGTCTTTTTCCCCATTAAGAGTCAATCTTAGAAAAAAAGTTACCATGTTTTCAAAGATTCAGACCCATTCTGCCTATAAATATTACGTAATTAGAAGTGACATAACTTGAGGGAAATGCAGACAGATGCCATAAGGTCTTTTAAAACATATGCTTAAAATAATCACGTTTATTCAATCAGTTTCCTTTAAATTTCTGGCTCTTATTTCATGTCACACAAGAGGAACTCAATTCACTATCTATTTCCTAAATAAAATTAAAAAAATAGAAACAGAAAAGAACCAGTCCCTCTATTTAAATGACAAATTGTGAATACAGTTTCTGCTTTCTTCATCCTCCTGGCATCCCTGTGAAGTAGAAAAGTGCTACTATCCCCATTCTGAGGGGGCAGCTGGGCGACTGAATGGAAGCACAAAGGGAAATGACATCTCCAAAATGACAGGAACTCAAATCTACGTCCTGCACTCTCTAGATCGATATAACCTAACCAGGGGACAATCCTTCTCTTCTTACAAATAAAGAGCTCCCTTGATAACGCGACCACCTCACTAATTGCACTAAATGCCTTCAGAGCACAGGCACCTGAGGCCTGGAAGGCTGTGCCGTGATAACACACAGGTCCAAAACATTTCCAGGGAGATCATAAACTAAATTTCGTCTCTTATTCACAGTATCACAGAATCTCAAGTGTGCATGCAGAGCAAGGATAACTATGGCTTTGATAAACCTACTGGGCAAGAGCCTACAACTTACCTGACCGCTGCCTCATCTTCTTTGCAGGCTGTCTTGTACATCTAACGCTTGATATCATCTCTAAGGCCGTGAAAGACTCTTGAGTTGTCTTAAGTAAATTTTATAAGCAAAATACCCACAAAAAACTTTACAGGCTCCTTCTCTTTCTTACCTGCAGGGCTGCCTGGCACATGTCCACTAAGCCCTGAATGAGATAATATTTGGCTTCTGCCATCAGCTCTTTGATCTCCTGCCTGTGTTTTGGAAGTGCAATCGTGTCATCTCGGAGATAGTTTAAAATTGTTCCAAAGTGCTTCCCACAACGGTCTATAAGGATCCAGCCTGAAAAATAACCATCACATCATTTCAATCACCTCAACACCAGGGGGCAAGAAAAAGCTCCTCAGAGAGGTTAAATAAGCCTAATGTTCCTGAAACTGCACATGATACTCTCCCCATTTCATTCAGTGGAAGTCTTTGCTGACTTGGAGCAAATTGAATTTGGTTACAGAACACAAACTGACAGTGGAACCTCTCCTCTGGTCCCTCCTGTATGTTCTTACTACTTTCCAGCACCCCAAAAGAAAAGCCACAAGCTAAAAATACTTGGCTTCCTATCACAAAACACTGAAATTGCTGCAGGAACCTGACTGTACTGTATCAGTTGATCAGCCAGTGGGCTGCCTGGCCAAAATTATTCTCTCTGCTTCGTCTTTTCTGTATTAGGTTCTGATTAAAAGAACGGACCTTTTCAACTGCTACAGGAAGTCACCAGTCTACATCTATTTAACCAACTGTCAAAACCATTCAAACCTGAAAAAAAAAAGAAAAAAAAAAGAAAAAAGAAAAAAAACGCATATTGTTAGGTAGGTTCCTTTTATTCGGAGGCTTGCCATATTCCCAGTAAAATGGGGGTGTGCTGCATTTGTGTGGGAATAAACATATTAACTGCTACTACAGTGTAATGCAGGGCAATTAGAAACTTACCACTAAGAAAGCCAAGGGAAGACTAGAAGAGTGAATTCACAGATGTATGTGACAAGTAGATCTGGGATAAGGTCTGTGGCCTAATGAGAAGGATTTGGCAGTTTTCCAACCACATCTGCTGCTGTTCAAAGTTAAAGAGCGAGAAATTTTCCAAAGGTATAAATGGTAGACTAGCCCAGAAAACCCAGTATGGGGAAAAGGCTGTTGTCGTCTCCAAACAGCAGGACAGGGGCAGATCAGGAGGGAGCAGAGAGGGGATGCAGCACAGGAAACAGCAGCAGACAGACACTTCTTGCAACTTTCAAACATCCCTGGAGTCACATTCACTAGGAAACAGGATGTGTGACTTGCTGGCAAACAATAGCAATGCAGGGGACACACAGGCAGAGGGCTTAATACAGCGCCAAACCCTTTTCCATAACGTGGAAGGCAGGAAAAAAGTGTTATTTTGGGACCTAGGCACAGAAAACAACATAGGAAAGTAGATTAAACCACTGCTAGATTCTGCGGCTGTAGCTGTCAGAACAAGCAGCTCGTCCTCCATTCAGGCCAAGGCTCCTATACAAAACTGCTGGACTAAATGGATTTAGTTGTAGGTACCACTTCACAAGACCCAGCCTACTCAAGGGAAACTTGGTCAAATGATACACGAAATCCACAAGGAGTCGTTGTGCATCAAGTTCAAACTGATGTAATCTGGGCATGGGGAAGAGCTTTCGCATATGAGTGTTCAGAAACACTGAGGTTAAATACTTGCCAACCTCTCTCAGCCTCTTTTCCACAGTGCCACAACCCTCGTTCCTAGGGTATCATTTTACCCTGGATTACCAAAGAGAGGAAAATGAAACCACTCGTAGCCATTGCTGATGTTGGTCGTCTTACTTGTTCCACTCTCTAGAATTTATTATGGATTTTTATAATGCCAATATTCAGTGCCCATCAGGAGCTGACATACTACTTGACTGACAGCTAAATGGCGTCACAGCTTCATAAGCCACAAGTGGATCATGCTACTGGGAAGAGGAAAAAAACGATTTTCAATATAGCAACCAAGGCTATTCTGAGTTTTAAAGACGAAAACCACCCGTCCCTCCCCACATGCGCATTTCAAATGATGCCACTCTGTGACACAACATAAACGACAGCCCACATACTGTCTGTTCAGTCTTCGTGACAACATCAACAATCTGCATACCAGCTGCGATCGCAGGAAAGAGAACCAGTTCTTCCTGGTTAATTTTAGTAGCAAAAGAACACACAGAGGATTGTTAGGACCAATGGGAGTTGGCTGCCTAACGTTCCAAGTTATTTTCAGAATATATCTTTCCCTGCCCCCTTAACATGTCTTTTAAACATTTAAAAAAACACCACCAAACCCCAGAAATCCTCAACAAAAGACATTTCCTTACCTTCCTTGTCTGTGAGCACTTCCATTCTGCCGCTGAACATGGCCTTAAGCATGGTGTCGTGCCTGGTCAGCACTTGCACTGTAGTGTAATATAAAGAGCCCCCAACATTCAGGCGCACATACTTGTTTCCGAGGCTGCCCCCTTTGAAGCTGCAAGTTTTAGGCTTGGGCCCTGCAGCTGGACAAAGGGTGGTGGTTAGGCACGTGTCCCCCGACATCTCCTTCTGTAGGTAGATGACAACCCTGCAGAGCGTGGGCTTGACGGATTCCGCCGTGATTGGTGAAGAGTCACAAGTCACCAGACGAGGTTGGCAAGGCGAAAGCGGTCATAACCAACGGACCCTTGGAACAGAAACGTGTAAGGTCAACACAGAAGCCTGGAATTTCTATTTACAACAAAAACATGAAGCCCACGCTAAAGAAGAGATACTTGCAGTAGATTCCTAAGGACACATCTACACACATTCTGACACAAAAGCTGTTTTTCAGACGACTTACACAGCAATCTAATGCAGTCAAGTCATCGCTGCACTACCGTTAGTGAGGCACCGCTAAGCTTTTCTGGGCTTCCTGTTATTTCATCCGCAGCCAACACTACAAACACCGTACAACACTGCAGTCCGCAGTTACACGCTAGCTGGAATTCCGCTCCCTCTCAGCTTCCGAACTCAACTCTTTGTGCAGAGCTGAGATGCAACGGGGGAGAGCTTCCTGCCCTTCCTTCAGCCGGGGCGCGTATCTGTATGCGAGCCCTTTGTTGCTGCTGGTTTGCTTTTTAACTGGACACATTTACAAATGTCTCTTCAAACGGCAACACAAATGCTGGACCATAACATCCTATTTCCCAGCAACTCCTTTCATTCAAAACTCTTCTGCCTCCACCCTGGAATGCTGAGCAGTCAATGTAGTTTTAATTAAAAAAAAAAATTTAACACCACCCTCCTGCCAAGCATGTCCAGTCTTTGGAATATTTGTCTCAATTAAAAAGCCAGCTCAACATTCACTGCTTTTTTCTCTCCCCACTCTCACTATGCTTATCTTTCCATCAACAGCGAGCTCAAACTAGAAACAAATAAAAGAACAAAACTCTGATGGGCCAGATCTGAAGGTCTTTAACCGGAAAAGTACAAATACAAGTTTCTTGCCTCTCCTTCCTCTAATAATTACTGTCCTCAAAAACATTTTGCTGTTGGGGTTTTTTTTGTTGTTTTTTTTAAAACTCATTCAGGCTACCAATATCTCCTCCCTTCTCTGTTCTGTGCCTGTGGAACATGAGTAACATTTTATAAATAAATATAATAACCTGCTAATTATATTGTTATTCTTCCTACATCCCTCTTCCTTCTCACCCCACCTCAGCTTTCAACATTGAACAAGAAACCCCACAGCATCCATCTGTACAGCAAATTACTTGGCAGCTACAGATGGTATCTTAAAATTGCCAGAGATTTGAATAACTACTGAACTTAGAAGGACACCAAAACCATAACGTTACTCTGCGATTCCTAACTCAGTTGTTCCAATTAAGCAAACACTACAAACAATGTCTATTAAATAACGAGCAATGAAAACATTGTGCAGATCGTCAAGACACAGACCAATTCTAAGAATTCCAGTGCCAAAAAAGCTCAGTTTGTCTATAACCGCTCTAACTGGAACTCCCGCTGGCTGCCATCACTCTGTACTTCCAACTAACCACCGTGAAATGCAACGGGGAGCTTCAGCCTACGTCTGGGCAAGGCAGGGTTGCTGCTGACCACATCGCCCCCGTCGAGTAGCCCGTGAGCAAACCTAAGTCAAAGGCGACTGCATGCCACGCACGGAATTGGCCAGAAATGTCATTCCCAACTGGCAAGCAAGCAGCAGCAACCACAAACATTGCGGTCGTGGCGTTATACAAGAAGCTCATTCCTCCAAGAAAGCAGCTACGGGTTACAGAGAAATCCATTGGAAATGGCCCAAGCCGTGTGAGGAGCACAGTTCCTCCTAACTAGTCCCGGGTGCTTACTGTAGTCCATCACCAGTGAACAAATCAAGGCCAGAAGCGACTGCACCTTGTCTCGCAGTTCAGACCTTTGGTAACAACGGAAACACCCCTCAGGTCTACGCGTTTGTCACGGGTGCCCTGCCTTGCTTTAAACCCTCGGCAATGCCCCCTTTAGGAGAAACGCGTGTCCGTAAAGGCAGCCAGGCCGGCTCTGTAACGAGAGAGAGAAATGCGGAGGCAAAGAGAGCTCTCCAGTTCCAACAGCGATCTGCCCAAATGCCTTCACTAGAACCAAGTTTTCAGTCAGTTCTAGCGCTCCAGGCCCTTGCTCGCTTCCCGGGCCAAGCAGAACGAAGCTGGGCACGTGCAGAACCCCCTGGGCAGCCCGAGCCGCAGTCGGTACTGTCACTCCAACGCGTTCGTTACCTAATGAGCTAGGAGGCTTCTGCTGTAAACAGCAATGCAACCTTTCGTTCCCTCCAATAGCACGGGGGGAAATTTTCCACGTCCCTTCCTCCCAGCCGAGTGCGGGAGCAGGGGAGGGCTGGGGCGCAGCCTCACGGCAGGGCGGGCTCTGCGGGGAACGTCCACGGGGAGGAACAGCCCTAAGGGCTCGGGGGCAGGGACCCCCAAGCACCCAGCCCCCCCGCCCAGCGCC